CTGCCCTGTTATTAGCTTGCTAGATCCTGCAGGAGCCTTCTGTATGTGGTTAAAGTTCAATTCAGAGAGAGAAAGTGATAAAAACGTTTTTGGTAAGTTACCATCGGATTAAAAATTAAACCATTTTTTTTCCATGCAGGCTCTGTCAATCACAGCCAGGGGAGGTGTGGCTAGGGCTGCATAAATAGAAACAAAAGTGATTTAACTCCTAAATGGCAGACAATTGAGCAGTAAGACAGCAGGGACATTATCTATACACCAAACTTGCATCATTAAGCTAGGTTTGTTTTGCTGACTATTTTAAATTCACAGTCTTTACCTGGCACACATAACATCCAGGACACATTTCACAATCATCACTTTAACTGTTTTATTTGTAAAATAAATAATCTATGAACACAAACACATTGGACAGCACAAGATATGTTATGGATAGAATTTATCGTACAAAAATAGTTTTTACTCCAGGCAATAAACATGGGAAGAAAAGTTTACAGACGTGATATAAGATTTACAAGTGTCAAACATACATTTAATTGATTAGTCGAAAGGACAGTAGGATTATGTTAAATTTCATGTAGTACCAGATAAGTCAGTTCAGATTTTTTTTTCAGCCAAAATTAAGCTGCCTGGAAAGAAAAAGCAGAATGACTAATAATATCTTAATTTTGAAACATTTCCCACATTATGGGGCATCCAGATAGATATTTCACTTTATAGCATAATGTAACTTTCTAATTAAGCTTTAACACGTATACTCAGAACTGCATCATATATTGTTTTTAGAAAAACAGAAGTCCATGCCCAATTATCCATAACCCACATAGGCACTTGCCTACAGCCCTACTTTTTAAAAGTGGTTGTGGCACCACTTTTGACTTGCAAATTCAGTATATAAAAGTGCTGTGATTGTCTTGCAAATTCAGTATATTGGTGAATAATTACTTAGCAAATTGTACTGAACTGAAAACCACACTACAAAATGTAGACTAAGATAGTGAATCACTAACTATAGTCGTTTTGGCAAATTTTTCAAAATACAAATTTTTTGCCTAAACTTTGCAGATTGGTTTTCAATTATCTACAATTTACGGTTTGGTGAAAAAACGCGCTTTAAATTTTTTTTCTTAGAAATGGGAGCACTCGTTCTGCCCTTCTACTTATGGTGGCATTAGCACCAATGTCAGATTTAGCACCAATGTCAAGTCTAGTATGTAATAATATCAGTGTAGAGGAGTTATATCAGAGCTGAAAAAAAAAAATAACCATTAAATAACCTAGCTTGTCTAAGAGTATATAAAAGGACATGTGACAGAGCTACTGTGTTTCTTTCAATGTTACAAAATGAATGCATGTGTGTCTACAACCATTTTAAGGAGGAGTTGGTTTGCTAGGATGTTTAATATATACAGTTACAGTCATAAGCAGATGGTGAGTGCTTATTTGTTAACTTTCTCCAAAATAAACATACAATGAAGACTAGAAGCATTCAATGGGTACTCTGAACATTACTAATTTACAATTAAAATTATATTTAACTTGGATTTTTCTCTTCGGCTATAGATATCACATGTTCAGTTTCATAAAATTGTTACCTCATTTCTGCTAGCATTCCGAATCGTACACAATGTAATTACTTTCATGCTTAACATGTGCGCATGTGTCCTGCCAACACAATTCACATCTACTACAGCATATGCCATGTATTCCTAACCACGGGTGTTGATCACACCAAGTGAACCTCAGCGTAAAATCACTCATATTTCCTGTAATTATGAACCTTGTTTAAAAACCGCAAATGACGACACTAAACATGCTGCATATTCTATATCCCTTAAATGACTTTTTTTATTTGGAGCATAATCACAACCAGGCCTTTTTGGATTATTGTCATTACCACTAAGGCCAATATGTACTGTGAAGGTTTACCTGGGCACTTTGACTTGGCTTGATTCTCATTCTACCCGAGCTGTTTTAATATTCTATATTCATTTCCTTTCAAACTTCAAGTGTCTCTTAATACACTGCTCAAAAAAATAAAGGGAACACTTAAACAACAAAATGTAACTCCAAGTCAATCACACTTCTGTGAAATCAAACTGTCCACTTAGGAAGCAACACTGAGTGACAATCAATTTCACATGCTGTTGTGCAAATGGGATAGACAACAGGTGGAAATTATAGGCAATTAGAA